CCCCCCCCCCCCCCCCCATCTCTTGAACTCTGTTCAAATCATGCTAACAAATTGTAGCTTAATTTTGAGAGGACTCATAAATTACTTCATTTTAGACACATGTGAGCAAGCCATCTTCCTTTCAAGGATTAGGTAGAGATGGAGGCTACTTGATACTCTCACCAGCTTCAAATCTAGAGTTATTTTAAAGTAAATGATTCCTGCTTTGTTTAGAGAAGTATTTTCCAGCTAAATTACAATCTTACAGAAGTGCTAACCACAAAACACAGAGAAATGAAGAATGAAGTATCAGTAAGAGAGAGAACTGACAAAGTGGTAGAAAAGCATGTACAGGAGAAAGACAATACAACTGCAAACAGAAAGAATCAGGGAAAAGCCCAAAGCTAGACCTAAAAGAATGAGAAAGTCAATAAACCCTAAGTACATGTATTAATAAAGGACAGTAGAATAGGAGAACCTCTCTCCCCAGAAACAATGTGTGCTTTTCATACTGAAATCCCCCTGAGAATACTTTTCATTTTGGAATACCACAGATGTTCCACAGATGGAATACCACTTCAAATGTTACTATTTTTAAAAATAGTATCTTAGAAATTCTAGAATATTTTCCCCATTTGGTATATTAACAATATTAATGCTACAATGTGAAGCAGGGAATGGGGTATGGTAGCAGAAACTTATATGGTGGACTGGATGTGCTGAACAGGCACTTGCTGGCTACTACCTCACATATCGTTCAACTGTTATTTTGCAAAATTCATACAAAATACATTTCTTTGAGATTTTTTTAAAAACAAAACAAAGATCAACAAAAATTTAAAATTATTTTAGGTTAACGAAGTAGGTCTGAATTGAACCTACAGAAACTTTCAGGTGCATATTTCTTTTTAAAAAGCATGCTGATAGTAAACAAAGTTACCTAACCTCTGAGAATGTTTACCTTCAGTATAGCACCCATGTCTCCCACAAGTGGCAGTGCAACCTGAAATTAAAATAGGCAGCTGCACTTAATGTTTTACACAACACTATCAACCCTGATGGGTTCTCATTGTTTCTAAAGTTTATGTTGTTACTCACATAGCTTATTACATTTATGATGGTTGAAGCTATTTTTTAATGAAAACTCAAAAGAAAAATTAGGGTTTCAAATACAGTTAATTATGGCTGTCTAGCCAACCTAACAATGTAATTCTTCATTACAATTCCAAGGAAGTTCCTTAAACCATGACAACAGCATAACCCCAGAACATAGTAAATTTCACTTTATTATAATAATATATTGTTGGTTTTGTAGCATACCAGCAACAACTTACCGCTATTGGAAAGTCTCACAGACTATTCTTACCTGATTATCTCCAGTTGTTTTCCTTATGCTTTCTCCTAGGCTTTGACTCTACTGTGAACTGTAGCATGAATTGTGGAGATGCCAAAGCTAACTTCAGTAAACTAGCTCAGATACTGGAAATAATCCAGCTACAGCAACATGAACAAAATGTGTAGTATTTGTCCTCCCTTCACACACTAAGAATTAGTGCAAAACTCTGTGGTGCCACTGCTACCAATACTAACACTAACTCATTTAAAGCTCAATCAATAGGTTTACACCATATTGCATTATATCTCAGATTTCCAAGTGCTGCCATTAAATTTACATTTAAAGAGTCCCTGTAAAAACTGATTGCACCAGATATCATCATCTTCACTCACAGACTCTTCAATTACCAATGCTCATTTCTTCTTGCAATTGCTAAAGCAGAAATAGCCCTGGGCATACTATAAAATTAGACACATACAAAATTTGTTTCTGTTTTTGTTTAGTCTGTTTCAATCATTTCCATCTTGAAGAAGAAAAATAAAATGTAAGCAGTTTTGTAGCACATTAGAAAAACTGTCAGTTGGTAGCAATGTGTGTCAAATGCCAGCTCAAGAGAAGCACTGCTGAACATACTTAGCCATAAGTGTGATCAGTAGTACACCATTTACAGGGTAGCATCACCACCTTTGAAAGCATGCTGAGAAGTTTTCTAGGGTGAGACATGGCCACCTAACGCAACTTAAGGATCTAACTGTCAGGTATGAAGTCCATTCTCTGCACAAAGGTAAACTGTGCATAGACAGTGTCACCTGCTCTTAAAAACCTGTTACAAGGCTTTAAAATATAACTACCACATACCTGCATGGTCTGACTTTTCATCCTTCTCCTTGTGACAACATTTTACAGATAGGCACGCTATTAGTGTCACCAGTTGGTCTTTCTGCTGGACTACACAAGTGTAATTTCCCCAGTCTCTCCTCTTTGTAATGGTTTTTTTTTTTAGTTGCAATATAATTTGATGGCACAGGCCCCCAGACCTTCAGTGTGTCAGGGTCCTAACATCCAGCTGCAAGGGCACATCAGGTGTGAGAGCAGGCTTACTGCATTTGTGCCATACATCCGCATACATACATACAGACATACATCTGCACTGTATGTACAGCAAGTCCAGCCCAAGTGCACATGTTCTGTAGAGTCATAGCTGTGTACGCTGAACTCTGAATAAGTGTATGATACATGCTGGGCTTTTGAAAATGTTAAAATGGCCTTAATTCTCCAGACTCACTTCTGCTTGCAACATCTCCCTTGAAAAATGTTCCATTCAAAGAGAAGAGTATTTCAAGAGAGCAAAAGGCAGTTAGTAAGTTTTACCATTTAGACCTGTCTGTTTAACAATGGCATTAGATTTTTTTCTTACATTTAGTTTACAGTGCACTGTGCCTTCCAGACCTATTCTACTTATGGATTTTCTTATTAAGCACTTTATACTCATCTGTCTTGAGTTTAATCTTGTTGACTTCAGACTGTATCTGAATTTTAAGTTTTGATTATATCTTCAAAAAGCTAGCAATCATTCCCAGTCCAATAGCAGTTTATATCCACTTATCCTAATCAAATTAAATCACTGAGAAGAACTCGGCATGGGAGAGACCTTTCCCAAGTTTGACAGTAACCTACTGATAGACACTCATATCCATATTTTTTTGATAAGCATTAACTATATGGCAATTATGTCGAGCATTTTTTGCTTGCTTCTAAAAACCTCATGAGGACAGTCTCAGAGTTTTATAGAAGCCAAGGTATATAACATGAGTGTTTCCCTGTCTTTCCCAAGAAAGTTAACCTTCCAAAGACAGAAATCTGATTTATTCCATGACTGGTTCTGAACAAAATTATGCCATCTTGTGTTTCCACTTTATCACTTGTATCACTGAGACTTAGAAATAAATTTTAAAAACCCAATTCCTATCTTTCTTGCAATCAAACTTTTTTTTCAGCTGACCTATTATATTCTGGTTCCTTTTCTATTCACCTTTTATGAAGATATGTTTTCTGTTAGCATCTCTCCCTTCCTCAAAAGCTGAATCTTTCTCAAAGTACTCAAAGTAATACTAATCATTTAGAGACTGTTCTGGTTCATTCTTTGAGGTGAATTACACCAGATTTTCATGCTGTATCTAAACCCTTTTTAACCAATTGTTTTTTGATTAAATTTATTAAATTAATTATTTGCTCTGAAAAGCAATGTTTTTCAGTGGACAGTGAAAAGCCACTAAATTATTCAGCTTTCTCTGTACACTCTATAATTTGATCTCTGTGATTATTAAATAATAGACTTTACTGGTCTTTCAAATACTTGTATTCACAATGCCTTTTTCTTGTTTTTATATCCATTTCTAACCGAACCTCTTTGTATCTGAATCTTTGCAACCATCTGGCTCGAGTTCTACCTTCTTACTCAATGCCAGTGATAGACCTGCTTTTACATACTGATTTTAGGCCCTTGAGAAACTACTAATACTCTTAAGTGTCTCTTAAAGCATTGGACCAGTTCACTAATGAAGGAATCAAGGAACCCACTCATGAGAATCACAATCCTGATCCTTCATAATCAACAGTACATACGTTCTATCTAGTTCTCAGGCTCTTCTCTGGAGAAAGCTGACTTTTCTTTACAAGATTAAACCTTTCTGTGACTTTGGGGCTACTTTAAATCTCCACAAACTCCTTGTTGTCAATCCTCAGGCTTACTTGTGGATTGCTGTGCACCTGTACCATCAAATGTTTAATTGAAAGCATGATATATTTACTGCCTAACATATTCCTGCAGCAGCTCTGGAGCATTTCTAATCCCTTCACAGCCTATCAGCAGTCTACAGACTAGTTTGGGAAATCCTGCCTTAGATTTGCACTGCTGGACACTTGAAGATGTACCTCACTCATAAGACATGGTGCAAGCCTCTGCATCTGAGGAGTATGTGCAATGGTCAGGTATGTGAAGAATTGCTAGTTTAAGAGATGAACAGACAGACCGCCAAGATACTCTACTCGCTCAGCTAAAAAGCCGAATTCATGCCTTGGTAAGGAACAAAGATTTTGCTAAAGGAGATAATACAGTTCAAATGTCAGGTTTGGTAAATTTTACTTTCATTTGTTTTGATATGTCTCAAATAAATACTACGATCACTGTGTCTCCCTGTTGTTTTGAAAACTGTGACTTTGACTAAAATCTCTTGGGAAATATCAAATCCTATAAAGCCAACAGGATCACAGGTGAGTTTAAATTTTTTTTTAAGCTCTGGTTTTGTTTATTTTTTTTCCCAATAATCTACAGAATTTTATTTATTTCATTTATATTACTTTATTTATATTAAACAACCACTCAGTGAATTTAGAAAGCTTAATTTGTTGTCATAAAAGCCTCTGTAAGCATTTGTCCCTAAAAAGAAATTTGCTTTTTGAAAGTTCTGAGACAGTTGTTAGGACTCCAGACAGGAACAGGCTAACAACAGAAGTTTTGCCTTTATGCCAATTTTGCAGATATCTACATCAGACTCTCCTGACTTCCATGTAAAATAATCACCTTTAAGGGCACAGTTTGGTCTGAGGCATGTGCTGTTCTCTTCAATCTTTTAACAGGGATTATCAAAGTATTCCCCTGAAAATTTGCATTATACAGATCTTCCTCTGAGATTGAGGAACACCATGGCAAGTTATAACCTGGCAGAAACTCTAGTATACAAACTGTAACACCTGAAAACGAGGTATTTATCCTGTATATGTTAACATAAGTTTAATTTATACTGCAAGATAATCAAGTAAAAAAAAAAAATAAATCCAAAGGATATAATCATTGAAAATCAAATTAATGAACTGGACTTCTAGATTTGCTAGGTTTCTCACCTCCTTTAAATTTAAAACATCTGCATCAAAGCAAATGCATAAGTTTTCTATGTATACGTACAGGATCACCTGGAGGGCCTGGTAGTCCTGGCTTTCCATCTCTTCCTGGAGTGCCCTAAAAACAAATGTAAAATTTGATGGCCTTAAGGTATTAACAAGGGACACATTACTCTTTGCTGTATATATAGGGAAATGTCACTTACATTAATACCAGGGGTACCTGGAGTTCCTGGTAATCCTGGGGGTCCCCTAGGGCCCTAAGAGCAGGAAAAGTAATTTAGGATTTAAGAATAATCTTCTTTTACTATAAACTTAATTAATGGTTTTTATATTAAAGAGAAAGCTTATATCCTACCTGCACACCTGCTGATCCAGTTGGACCTATAGGACCCTGCAAGAAAACTCCAAATAATCAGTAGTTACACTTTTTGGGACAAGGGAGAGAAACTTCATAAAAAAATACTGATGTGGGATATTGGTGTGGTTCACATTGCAAGAAAGACTTGCTCTAAGGTTTGGCTTTAAATCCAAATCTAATTTTGCCAAAACTAGAGAATTCAAGATTTTGCTGAGGTCTGTTTTTAAGGGGAAGTAATACAAAAATCAAAGAATAATAATCTGTGGTGAAACTTGCTATTTAGCTTGGAGATTCATAAGAAAAGCTGATATTCAGTTAAATAAAAACAAATTAGATTATTTAAATATAAATGGGTAATTTTAAAAATTCAGATTTGAAAGTATTTTAACTGAACAATTTTTTTTAAGGATTATTATTTTAGGTCAATATCTCAGTGAATCTCTAGTTACTTCTCAAACATTTTCTCTCTGTACCTGAGACCTGTCAATAAACTGAAATGTATCAGCTGACCATATTGGTCTGGACTGAATAGAGACTGTCCTCTTCACCACGCTAGAACTCAAGTAATAACATGTACCACCTACCATCTACAACATCAATATCATAATTTTTTTACTGAATACTCTGAAGGCACTGCAGGTGGCTTTATTTAAAGGCAATAGAAAGTAACCTAGGAAACAGGCTGAGTAACTGAAACAGTTACTACTATATAAGTAATTTAGTATGAATGCTCTAGATACACTGCTTCAAACTTGCTTCATGTTTGAATTTAAACTGCACAGAAATGCATGAAGCAATCTTTCCAAAATCAGAGCTTTACTATTTCCTGGCATAGCACCTGGCACTGTAAGGTTCCCATTTATAAGCAGTAGAGCCAAGCTTGTAATTAGCAGTCATCACAAATGCAAAAGTTGGGAGCTGATGCAAAGCCTTCCACATCTCTTCCATGTGTCTTTGCCTTTTCCAGTACTAGCATGGATTCCAAAATGCCATCTCTACAGTGTTGAGTATACCTCTTCAGTACCAGTACACAGGCTGGATTTTTCTGACAACTGCAAACAACTGCTGCTTAGAAACTGACACAGACTGAAGATATCTCAACATCATCAACAGCAAGCTTATCTGCAAAGTAGCCATTGACTCTTTCAGTTCTCCAAGGCTTCCACTTCTCACTTAGCACTAGACCTTTCTGGGTCTGGATAAAGGGAAAAGATGCTGAGCTGGGAGTCGAGTCAGAAGGGAGTTCATGGCATGGCTTTTTACTGTGTTTTGTTTACTTGTTGTAGTTTCTCAGTGATGCGCAGTGAGAAGCCCAAATTCTGGGCATTGGTATAACTTACTGGTGATCCCTGAATGCCTATTCCAGGGGGCCCCATCTCCCCTGGTGCTCCTTGTACACCAGGCAGTCCTCTTTCTCCCTGAGAAGGGTACAAGGCTTTCAGTTAGAATAGGTCTGAAAATGTAAACTAGCATATTATCCTTTTTTTTTTAGAAATACATTTTTTTTTATACCTTTGGTCCCCGTGGACCTGGGTTTCCTGGAATACCAGTGGGACCCTAGAAAAAAAACAAAAAACAAAAAACAAACAAACAAACAAACAGGAAAAAAAAAGTTTTAAAATCAAAGAGACTATCTGATTTTTTTTTTTTGCCAAATTAGTCAGCCTTTATAAATAAGCTATGACAGACTTACATGTGTCTTCCTTGTTAATACCACTGTAACCAGGAGCTGCTGTGAGCCTTGAACTATTTCTAGACTATAATTTAGTGCACTTACAATACCACTATAGTATATATTTCAATTTTGAAATGACACTAAAAAAAACCACCTTGTTCTGATTTCTTTCATTGCACAATGAGAATTCTTTAATGGTTGTCCCTACAAGACATAAATACCTAAAAGCCTTTTCAGATTATGGATTATGGACTTACTGGTCTTCCAGGCAGACTTGGTCCAGGAGGTCCCACATCACCTTTTGGACCTGGATGCCCAGGTGGTCCCATAATCCCACCAGGATCTCCCTACAAGATACATCTGGATCACTAATTGAAATGTGAGAAGTTTCTCTTACGAAAAAAACCACTAAATATTATCAGGACTACCCTAGAAAGTGCCAGTGCTTTGAGAAGAAATAGAGAAGCAATATATCCTCCTATTTTCCTTCAAAAAGTTACAGAAGAGGAGGAGGCATGGACCAGGCCAACCACTAATAGTAACTAGCACTCTCTCAGTTTTCCATGCTTGCAATGCATCTGATCTATATTTCTTTGTCCCCAGCCCCCTAATATGCTGGTTGTCATTAAACCCTGTCAGTTAATTCACAGTAACAGCTTCAAACTGTCTCTTCTCAGCTATCTATCCCTAGTGCTAAAACCCTGGTCTTCATGGTATTTCTGTTTTTTACACCGCAATTTCTTACTTCAATGCATGCAGTCTCTTGCTCCACATCTCTACAATTCCTCCTGCTTACACAGGTGAGTTTGTGCCTTTTATTATGCTGTCCTCTTGGCTTTTACATGCGCCTGCACCATTCTCTGTGATTCTTTCTGAATCCACTATTTCCCATTTTGCAAGATGAGTACATTTTTATCACTGTTCCACAGTTATTTTCTTCTCCTGCCTTTTCATCAGCTCACTCTTTCAAAGTATTTACGGATTTTGTTAATTTCCCTTGTAACCCAAAATGTATAAATATCATAACACATCACACAGCTCACAGTATGCCTGCATATCCTCTCTTCTCCCCTTCTCTAATTCATCATATACACATATAGCATTTTTAACTCTTGCTAATGTAGCTGAAATCTAAGGATTTCTACACAGCAAAACACAATGCCATAAAGAGATCCCAGCCTTGGCTCACGTCTGAGACAGTACAGCTGTGTCAGTGTTCTGATAGAATGAATATTCCTGACTGTGAAGTGGGATTTTACACATTAGTCTGGTTAAGACTGAAAAGGCTGTTCTGTTGTCAGGACTGGAACTGACATTTCTGCATTGCAGAGATTTAATGTAAGAGCTCAGTGTAACTTCCTTGAAATATTACTTAAATTATTATTATAAAGAGTAATCGGGCTGCCAAATTGGCCTGCAGCATCTCTGAGGAGCAGCCAGGGCGTTGATGCTTGTATATTTTAAAATCAGTTAATAAAGGAGCCATACAGATGCACTACAGAAGGATGGAAGGTTACTTCAGAGATAACAGTCTAATATGCTCTAATATATCAAGCCTAATTAAAATCACTTAAAACATACCTTGTCTCCTTTAACTCCTGGGTTTCCTGTTGCCCCGTGCTCTCCTGGTAAACCCTGGAATTAATAAAATTATAACTGTACATTTGTATTCCCTTGAGATTATCTAAAATTACAGATGAAAATAAGATTACACTCTATTATTTACTGTGCATTAGTATTGACCCAAAACGTTAAAGAGTACAAATTAATGACTGTTTCTTTTATCAAATATATGAATCAATTTTCATGAAGTTTAAATGGTATAATCAAGATTATTTTCTGGACTGTATTAAGGCAAAGTGGCAGAGACTGACAGGTTTATTTCTTCACTTTCAAAGTAATTCCAAGTCTTGAAAATCAAAAATTTTTTCAAGGACTGTGGTAGCAGGTACAAACTTGAGTTTTAAATAAGCGTCTCATCTTTTTTGCCTATGAATGGCAAAATTTGCATTATTTCCTGCACTAGTTAATTATTTAAATTTGTATCTTCAAAGCTTCAGTCAGTTCCTACTCCTGCATATTACTTAATCCACCAATTTTAAAAAAAATGTTTTAGATATTTAATGTAAAGTCAGATATTTTCGGCAAAATAAATACATTCCATTCTTTTATCTAAATCTTCTCATCTTTCACATTTTGATTTGAACTTCAGTACTTTCCTTTGCCCTTTTCATAAAGGATTTCTTATAAATGCAGAGAAATTAAATAAATTAAAATCTATATAGAAACTACTTAAATAATAGGGTTAAATTTTGTTCTCTTATTACACTGTAACAAATACAGAAAACTTTTCCCATAACCCTCCAATGCTATTCAGGCAACTATTGTATCAAGTATTTTATTAGGAATAACATTAATTTCCACAGTAAATGATAAAATTGCCCAAACTGAACAGTAAAATCTGATACTTAATCTGGAACAGAAAATTAACTCCCTTAGAAAAAGAGAAAGAAACACTTTTTTTTTTTTTTTTTTCCCAGTGTAAAACAGTTTTGTGAACACTGACATGAAGGATGACAACATTTTCATGCCAGTAGTGAGGGTTCAACAGCTGTGTGTTCACTTTCTCTGCTGTATTCTGTCCTCAATACAGACACACAGCTACTTGTTTCACCCAGCCACCCAAATTAAAAGCATAACAACCCCCCCCCCCC